TTTTTTGTTGTGATTTGGCTGAAATTTTACAGAGTAGATTCATTTTCCATTCAACAGTTCATACACATTTTGTTTTGTGACATTGATTGCAAATCCCCACAATGTAATAGCTTTCTTCCCACTTCCTTCCTGTGGTTACCTTTCTCTGTGTCCTTGTTGCCTATCCATTCCTGCCTTCCTAGCTTTCTCCCTGTGCAAATACTGCCTTCTGATCTCCCATGGTTGGTTGTCCTAAGGAGGGCATCTCCCTGGTGTAATTGTTCAGCTGATAGGCCTGTCTATAGTTTGACTGAGAGTTAAACTATGGAAGTGAGTCCAATTCCAGGCCTGAAGGGTTACTAGAGGCCATAGTCTCTGGGGCTTCACCAGTCTGTCAGACTAGTAATCCTGGTCTTTTTTGTGTTTTTGAATTTTCTCCATGAGCATGCCCTTTCAGGTCTTCTGGTTGAAAGCAGTGAGTCCAACTCTGTCTACACATAGAATCACCTGGGGACCTTTTGAAAAATACTAATAATGCCCCGGCCCCACCTACCCTCTTCTTTAAAAGGAGCCCTAGGTGAATCTGAATGTGTAGTAAGATTGGAGAACTACTGGTGTAGAACGGTGCTTCCTGACCCAGAGCAACTGTGTCCCCTGAACCAGGGCAATTGTGTTCCCATGGGAGATTTGGCAATAGCTGGAGACATTTTTGGTTATCATACTGGAAGATGGGCTTCCATCTGGCAGATAGAGTCCGTGGATGCCACTAAATGTCTTACAATGCACAGAATAGCCCCTACAACAAAGAATTATCCAGCCCCAAATGTCAACAAGTCTGCTATCAAACCCTGGTGTAGAGTTTAAAAGGGCCACAGTTTGAACTTAGCAGCCCAAGAATTTATTCTTTCATTCCACAAATATTTACTGAACACCCTGCTAGAGAGCGTGAGGGCTATGGAAACAATATGCCAGATTGTGCCTCTGGGGAGGTTGTACCCTAGAGGGGCAGGAGGTAGACACATGCCCACACCTTCAACACAAGGCCAAGAGAGAGTCCCGCGAGGGCTCGGGGTGCTCACAGATGGGAGCACCCACATCTCACTGTGGGTGGAATCAAGGCAGGAGGTGGTTTCTGAGCTGGGTGTGTGGGCAAAGCTGAGATGGGGGAAAGCCCAGGCCCTTTTCTGGGAATAGCAAACATTTTCGTTTGGATTGTAGAGTATTTGTTAGCATGTGGAGGAAGAGGGATTGGAAAGGCCGGTTGGGACTTGCTTGTTGAATCCAGGCTGAGGACTCTCTCTTTGGTGGCTGCCTTAGTGATGAAGAAGCTTTCTCTTCCAGAATAGTGGCCTAGACCTTAGGCCTACAGGGCTTAACAGCTTCCAGGGAGCACCCTCTTCAGAGGAGAGGATTTGAAATTGAGGTGGAGTAGGGTGAATTTCTGCCGGCCTTAGGACTGGTTTGGTGAAGTGATGCTGAGTGTGTAACTAAGCTATTTACCCTAAAGTAGCACTTGGGGAGAAGGTCCTCTTGAGGTGAAACACACATGGGGTGAGTTCTCTTCTGTGTAGTTATTTTGCTAAGGGGTGTGTCACCTTGACTACAGCCAACTTCAGTGAAAACCAGAGCAGATATGGAAGCCCTCATCAAATGTTTGCTTCTCCAAAGCTGAGCTGTTAAAATAGGGCTCCTCACAGATCAAACTTCAAACCTGGATACTACCTGGTGGCATGATTTTCCATTAAACGTAATTGGTGGCATGTCCAGTGCACTATAAGCAAGGGCTTCCTTATCTTCTCCAATGTAGATGTACCTTCAACGCTTCCCACCACCACCACCAAGATGAACTTCCCTGGGGAGACCCATCACTCTTCCGACAATGGGCCTGGGGGAGAAGGTATGGGACCTTTGTTGAGCTAGTATTGGTTGTGGTGGCATAGTGCCTAAGGCATTTGACTGCTAATCAGAAGGCTGG